TCCAAAGACCGGCGCTCCCCGCCCGAGGCTCCCCGTGCGCTAGGGGCCCACCCTCAGGGAGCCAGCAGGCAGGAAGCTAGCCAGCCGGAAGACTGGCGCTCCCTGCCCGAGGCTCCCTGTGCGCCGGAAGTCCTCCGTGGCCTTTCTTTTTTGCGCACTGTTGTATTTTGAATGCTCAGGGCACCTCCATAATCTTTACTTGGTTTGTTCTGAGCAGAGAAAACTTAGTTTTGACTCCCTAGAAAGAAGAATGTTGGAGACCAGGTTATGAGACCGGGGTCCCCTGATCTTGAGTCTGGTGTGGCCTTGCTTGGGGAACGGAGAAGTGCTCAGGGGACCCATGCTCTCATGCTGTGCGGGGAAAACTCCCAACCTCAGCATTGCTAGGGCGAGATAACATCCGCTGGGGAAGATCTAACGACTGGGGGTGTACCAAGGTGGAGGGCAACTTGTTCTTCATGAGCACCCCCATCTACTACACTGAAAAACACAGTGCACTCTCTCCTGTGCTGCTCGTTTGCTAATAAAAGTGGGTCACAGCCAGGTGTGGGGGTGTAGGCCTGTAATCCCAGCACTCGGGAGGCTGAGGCAGGAGGATCGTTGCGAGTTTGAGGCCAACCTAGGCTACAAAGTGAGCTCAAGGCCAGCCTGAACTGCATAGCGAGACCCTGTCTACCAAAAAAAGAAAAAAAAAGTGGGTCAGCCACAGAGATTGTTGTGCCTGTTCCCCAGAGGCAGGTGACTGCCAGTCTCCTTGTACCGTGAGTATTGTTTACTGTCTTTCTTTATTCCCTGCCCACGGGTGTCTGGGGTGTGCTCGGTCCCTGAATAAATCAGTTTTCAAACATCGTCCTGATGCACACGTCAGCAGTTGCTCTTGGGAAGGTCGTAGTAATTCCAGCCAGCCAACAGTCTGAGCCCGATCTGATCGTTCCAACTGCACACACTGAGTTTGGGGAATCCCAGTCTGTCTTACCCCTGCCTGGTAGTGGTGCTGTTCCTGGCCGTTCACCCGCGGTCAGGCACAGGGCTTCAAATAAACAGCCAAGACTTCACTTAGAGCCCAAAGATGCTTTATGGTTTCCATTCCAAGAACATTTTACTACACACAAACATTCCTTCTTCTCCTTCTCTCCCTCCCCCTCCCCCTCCTCTACTTTCTGCCCTCCCACTGCTGAAATTCTCACTAGTTATCAGGGATCGCATTTGTTCAGTCGATCCAGTTCCCTTTCTTGAAATGTCTGCTCCCAGCCAGGGCTGTGTTACTTCATTGTCCACTTGTGTTTTCCGCTTTTCTGCTTGAGGCCTGACTTCGCTCTTGGAGGACTTCTTTCTTCTTTCTTTTCCAGGTCAAGTGAAAGGCCATTAAGACAAAAGAGGCCAACCATGTTAACGCTCCTGTGACTGTGTAGGCGATGCCTAAGAAAAAGCCCCCACTTCCACACCACGTCGGGATGGAAAGAACAACAGCTTTTTCTCCTTGGAACCTGGTTACTGGAAAATCTAAGAAGAATTGTTAAGGATATGTCTTAGCACTTTTCACTTCTACTGCATCTACCAAATATGCTAGGTTAAACCATAGAAAGTTGCTTTCTTGGTAGTTGAAACATGGTTGAATATTCAGTCTTATATGGTATAACCTAATCAAGCAGTATCTTGGTAGAATAAAATTAATAAAAACAAGACTTCCCTCTACACAGCTTTAATTGACAAAAGAAAATCTGATACAGACAGATCTGAATGACTTACAGACAGCTAACTAATGAGATAATAAATAATTTTTTCTTGATGAGTCCAAGGAAGTTAATATATCTAGCTTTTACAGCAAACCTACAAATCTATTTTTGAATTAGGAGACCCAGGGAAGACTAAGTTCCCTAATAGGCCAAAGTTTAAATTCCTACTTCAGCGAAAATTTTTTAAGGAGAGTAAAGAATAAAAGTAAATAAACAAATGCAGAGAGAAAGAGAGGAAGAGAGAGAGAAAAGCATTAGTGGCAGAACACTTCTGGCGGAAAAACTAAAGGTGGTACATTCGTTTGGGTTCTGCAATGGCCAGCATCCCTGCTGCTGGGAAGAAAGTATTTAAAGTGGGTTTGCTATCATTAGTGTTTTAATGATGTCATGTTGATTATGCATGTGGCCTAAGGTTTTTAAACATCTGGTGTCTTTTGTAAACGAAACTAATAAACAAAGGCTTCTCATAGCAACAACAGAGGCATTTCCCAGCAAAGCTCTTAAAATGGCTTACATCACTTGGCAACAGGCTATTTAGAGACGCAAGGAAACGTGTTAGGAAACCAGCTCTCTTTTCTTCCACATCCGAATTCCCCACTGTCGCCAGGCCCTAGGCTGCCACCTCACCCCGTCCGCCTGAGTGTGTTCTCCCCCACTTCCTTTAGAAAGGCAGGGTCCCTTTCCCTCACACACAGGACGGCTTCTCTCCCTACTGGGAGGCCCTGTCTGTAGAGAACAGGCTGGCTTTTCTTGCCGGGCAGTCTGGCCATCGGGCCGGCGGGGCAATACACCAGGGCCACACACAGGTAACAGACACGTCGGAGTGAAAACAGGACCAAAGCTCTGAATGGAGATCTGGTTTTGAGAGCGTGCGGCATTGAGCAGGACCGTGAAGGCAGGCACCACAGACAGCGCGATCAGCAGGAGCAGCAGCGCTTCTTCTGCGGAGCAGAGCCTCCCTTTCTCATCCCCCAAACCGCACCGGGGTGCGCTGTGAGGACAGCAGTGCGCGACTTCCCTCCCCGTTTCTTGAATGCAGCTGTGACTTCCTTCCTGGTGAGGCAGCCACAGAGCGGGCAGGGTTGGGAAGTCCAACTTGAGAGACCGTTGTTAACAACTTTCAATCTGTACTTAAATTTTCTTGAGAGAGAGAGGGTTTTTTGAAATTCTTCTTCAAAAGGTGATCTTCTACAGTTTAGTCTTTGATCAATATCTAAATTGAGGAATTTTGTGCCTTTTATTTTCATAAAAATAGGACAAACTAGTACAAGAGTGCCTACTGCCCTGCCAGAGGAAGACGGCCACACGCCTGCTCTCGGCCATGACAGGAGAAGACTGTAGGGGACCTAGAACACACACTGTTTGCGGTTCATGTTTCTCCAGGAATTTCCCGCTCAGCCTCATGGGGTAATGAGATTAAGGAGGAGAACAATTCTGTGTGGAGAGCCTCTGGCTTGTTGGAAGTTCCACTGAGCAAGAAGTTCTGACATCTGATCTGGGTGAAGTTTCAAAGCTGTATACTAACCGGAGAGGGTTCTGCCTCTAAGGGATTTTTGCCTGGGGGACAATCAAAGACTGAAAAATTAACTTCTAGGCACCAAGGATATGGCTCAGCGGCATAAGTGCCTGCCTGGCAAGCCCCAGGTCCTGAGCTGGATTCCCAGTATCCACTCCCCCAAATAAATACGATTAAATTAACTTTTAAAGACTAGAGTTAGTATAAAGTATGTTTATGTAACTTAATATGTAAAGTTATAGCATTTGATGCTATTTTAAAGTTAAGTCCTTTTTGCTTTTAAATTGATGCACATTTCTACTTCTAAATTAAGTGAAGAATTTGTCATCTCTTAGCAAAGCGTATGTTTTCTCGCGTGGCGCACATGTCCCTTACTAAGGCACTCACTCTGCTGGTTCTGCATCTGAGGGAAGCAGACAATGGCGTCCCCACTGTAGAGCTTGTAGCACACCTGGCGTGGAGCCCAGGACTCCCTTGCTCTGTGATACTTTTGTCTAGAATGAAAGGTCTACAGTCTCTTTCAGTTTCTGCTAGTTTGAGTCCATGTTCCCAATTCATTTCTCAGGCTCCTCTTCCCTCTTCCTCTCTTTATTTTCACGATTTTTCACCTTACCCCATTCTAAGTGGTGCGCTTCTTTTTCTTCACCGTTTTAAATCTTTAGGCGCCCTGTTATCCAGTCTTGCCTTCTGTGCTTATCCATACTTCTCTACCTGAGACTGTTAAGTATATAACAGAGACGAATTGAGGTTGAGGACAGGCCACCCCCAAGCACGCCCCTTTGGCACGCGATTTTCAGCTAAAGGGACTTAAAAAGCAGCAAGCACAAGAAGGGCGTTCTGACTTCCTATTTTCTTCCTGAATTCGTGAGAAAACGCCTGGGTGGGAGACACCCTTCTACAACAAGAGAAAAGAAACACTTCAGTCACCGAGGTCGGATGCTGAGGCCCAGAGGAGTCTGTAAACAAAGTCAGACTGTTAACTTTCAATCACCTCCCCATCGCTGCCACTCTTTTTTCAACCTAGTATATACAAACCGAGGGTAGGCCGCTTCTTTGGGTGTTCGTTTTTCTTTTAAGGGTTCCCACGTAGATAGAAAACCTTTGTATGCTTTTCTCCTATTGATCTGTCCTGTGTTAGTCCCAGCTGAACACTGGGAGAGTAGAGGACAATATTGTTCTCCCCTACACAGCATTACCTATAAGAAAACTTACAATTCTTTGGTATGAATATTTGATTGGAGAATACAGAATAGAATGAAATAATTGGATAACCACTAACCAGATTTTCCTTTAGCTTGAAAACTAAAAGGAGCATAAAAGGATACTGTAGGATATGTTGAAACTATAATTACCAGCAGGCAGGCCTTGAATAAAATGGTGAATCCGGTAGAGTCTACGGTACAGCTTTTTGAATGTGGGAAAGGCAGCTGTCCGCATCCAGACAATGAAGTCATCGTTGAGGAAGCCGTTGTTGTCTGGGTTGCTTTTATCGAGCTCATAGACTGGTTTAGGCCAGTTTGGGGGCTTTGTGCTTCCTGAGGGAAGAAAAGAAAGGATATGGTAGAGAAAAATAATGTTTCCTTTAGTTCTCCTTAGAGTGTAGCAATGAAAGAACTGCACATGTGAGAAAGAGAAGGAGAAATTAGACCTCTACACAAGTGCATCTGTGTGGAAACTATCTGAGTTTGTAGCCATTAAAATGATAGTTTTTGCGGTGGCGCACGCCTGTAATCCCAACACTCAGGAGGCTGAGGCAGGAGGATCGTTGTGAGTTCAAGACCAGCCTGGACTACAAAGTGAGCTCAACGCCAGCCTGAATTGCATAGTGAGATCCTGTCTCAAAAAGAAAAACAAAACAAAATGATAGTTTTAAAGAGGCTAAGGAATGTGAGTGATAATTTTAAAGGGTGAAAAAAGCAGAGTAGAAAATTATATGCATATTATGCCTTCAACTACATTAAAGATTATAAAGATTACAAAACAGGTATGACAAAATGGTAATGGTCATTTTCTTCAGTGGCATTTTCATGGGAAATATCTTTAATTCATTAGTTTAGCTAGCAATATAAAGAGAGAAAATTAAAAACGAGATTGATGGACATGTACCGTGGTCATCGGTGAGGCCGTGGAAGGGGGGCCTTTGTTTGGAGCAGAGATGTGAATCTGGGAACGAGCACTGAGAGTTTTCCTATTTTGCGTATGTTGGGGCCCAGAAATTCCACTTCTAGAAATGTGCCCTAAGGAAATGGCCAACAAGTGCCTGAAGTTGACTTACATACGTCTGCTCCCTGGCACTGCACCTGAGAGTTCCAGGCTGGGAGCAAGGCAGGGCCTGGTCAGTGGGAGGAGACAGAGGCAGGGAGACGCCGGGAAGCCAGCGGGCGTGGGCTCTGCAGGTGCAGGGCGTAAGGCGGCGCCGGAGCCGAGTCTGTGGGCCTCCCGCTCGTTCTCACGCTCCCCACTCGCCCCCGCGCGCATCAGTCCGTCTCACCCCACGGTGGGCTCTTGGGCACAACACTGTGTGACTTGTTTTTCACCACCACTTCGTCCAGGGCCTGACACATGGGAGGACTCAGTGGATGTTTGATGAGGAGGTGAAGGATTCCAATTAATGTGTCCCGATTTCCAAGGGTGCAGCCAAGTGCCTTTCAGAACCCAGTAATTCAGTTGTAGGTAAAGTGACTGTGTGTCTCAACGTGCCCAGGACAGACCCAGTTTATGTCGTTGTCCACAGTCTTATCGGATGATTTAGCATTTATTGTACACGAATAGTGTACATATAATTTCATCCGTCCTTCCAGCTTCCAGGCAAAACGCTAGCTCCGAGTGTGGCGCTCCCCTGCGCAGTGAATGCGCTGCTTACTCTAATTTGTGACTGTGTGGAAGATGAGCAGAGACTCTTCCCATCAGGCGCGATGTAACCTACCCAGTTGTTTTATTTGCTAATAAATCCTTTAGCAGTGAAGGACTAAAAAGTGGAACGTATGTTTAATGTAAAATTAAGTATGGTTTCTTCTTTTTAAAGAGAAAAAAACAATAACAAAATAACATCAACAAAGATAAACCAACACAAAAACAATAAAAATGATACAGGGTTTCAAAACAAGATGATAGGAATTAACAGTAGTTGTTATATTACATATTGGTATCTTCAATCAAGTTGCTCAGATTACCAGATGTAAGGATTTAAGATTGATCAAACAATTAAAGAGAATAAAAAGTAATAATAAAACCATTAGAATTGACACAGAGCTTCACTAAACAAGATGGTAGGAATTCAACAATGGTTGTTACATTGCATATTATTGGCTTCAAATTAGTTGTTCAGATTATCAGATATAAGCATGCTATAAGGATAGCTGGGATAACTGTACTGCTGATGTCTATTGGTTTATTGAAAGGAACAGTTAATGCTTAAGTATGATTTATTAACAAAATTAATAATATGATATCACACTGTTAGTCAATATTATTCTATCATGGGAATCATAGTGATCGTCATTGTGTGAAAATCAAGAGATATAAACCTGCTGAAGAATATCAGAACCTGCTCCAGAAGACTGTGGTAACTTTTAAAATGTATCCAATGACAGTGGTTTAACTTCTGTAAAGGTCTATATAAATATCATTCTGTAAGCATGACTTCATTAAGATCAAATGGAATTCCTTCTAGTTACACCTTTAAAAATTGTTTTGCTTTGTTTTGGTTTTTGGTAACCAAAAAGAATGTGTTAGTATGTTGTTGACTTCATTAACACACAAAAAATTCTGTAAATGGTTAAATGAAGCCAGATTTACATGAATGTCTTCAAATAGAATAACTGAGTAAGTTAAATATAACAATAGTTTATTTTAGGGGGGTTAATTCCCCATGGAATCAAAGCAAAGCATTTAGAAGCTCCATCATTCAAGATGAAACCTATGATATTATTATAGATCTTACTACAAATTCAGTTAAAAATTTCAACGATCAAGTTTAAATTGTTAGATTTAGTAGTGATAATATAAGGACATTTGGTAGGGCACAACATCAGAGGAAAGATAATGCTCTTAGTAAATTGAGGAATTGACAGAGAAAAAATATACTTAAAAACTGGCTGTGCTACATACACAATTCACAGTTGAATCCAAAGAAATGACAATATTTTATTACATCGAAAGAAAAGCTGCACTTGTACAAATCTAAATATTTTTTCATACTCATAGAGAAACTGAAGTGCACAATTTTTACAGTGACACAGATAATAAACATACTTCAGTATGATATTACTTGTAATCTTATCAACCAGAATTTTAGAAATGTTTGCACCTTTAAAGAAACTTTTTGTATATCAGATGATGGATCCTGTAATGATCCTGAACTTTTCCTGTAAATGAGCCCTCCAACTCTGGGATGCATTTTGTTAAAAATATTTTTTAAAAATTTCTAAAATATAGAAAGTGAAAAACCTTTAGTTGTTGAAGATTTAGTGTACAGTATAAGTGACAGCCAAGCTTGCAAACAACGAGATGTTATTTACCTCTGTAAGAGGAAAAGAACAGCTGAATATATTAATAGTGAGAGTTGAAAATATATATAAGGTTGAATTTTTAAATTCTATAATTATGCTTTGGAATATCCCAGTTTATGTAATAACTACTGATAACACTTCTCTTTTTAAGTGGATAGAATGTTTGTACCAGAATGAAATGATACTGAGAAAAATCTGAGATTTCTATTTTAACATCTAAACTTAACAATGCATTTACAACAATCAAAAATAAAAGTGAGGTTTAAAATATAGTGCCCATTGTTTTTTCTCTCTTTAAAATAAAAAGATAGTGCCTATGAAACCATTTGTGTTAAAATATTAGCATATTTCAAAAAATTAGCATATTTCACTATGAAGAGTTGAAATTGAGAATTCCTCTAGTTACCAAAATTGATAGTGAGTATAATAGGACCTTGACACCTATATTTTCTTAATAAAACCAAGAGACAACAGAGAGGAATCAGTTAAAGGTATCAATAATTTTAAATTGATGAAATAAAGTTAAACTTTAAAAATGATTGCAGAAAATTTTGTGAAAAAATTAAAATAGTAAAAATAAATTAATCAGAAAAATACAGAAAAATACAGGGGCATGTCATGAAGAAAATATGGCCAAGAAATTGATTGAAGTATGTGACTGAATATCAAAAAGAATTACTCTTCTTATGTTATTTTTCAATGTTTAAATAATAATTATAGTTTTTTAGGGTTGCTTTAACATATACATATGTGCTATTTTAATTTTTGAAAGAACTGCTTTTTTTTTTTTTTTGCAACAGGGTCTCGCTATGCAGTTCAGACTGGCCTTGAGCTCACTATGTAGACTAGGCTGGCCTCGAACTCATGGTGACCCTCCTGCCTCTCAACCCCGCAAGTGCCCAGATTACAGGAGCGCACCGCCATAGCCAGCTCCAAGAACTGCATTTTTGAAGGTAGTTTTTGGTTGAATTATTGTGTATGTTTATCAATGTGGCGCCAGTTTATTGGTCAGTATATGAAAACTTTAAAAAACTCTATACCTAGTTATTCTAGTAGGCCTTTTTAATCTCAAAAGGGCCATCATAATTATGGTCATTCTAATTATAGTGAAATTAGCCTTCTAAAAACATTGCTTTTTTCTGAATGGTAAACTGGAAGAAAACAAGGAACCGATCATTTTATGTTTCTGATAAGTATATGATGGAGGTGCCCACAGTGGGAAAATTTAAAGCAAAAAGGAGTCAACAAAGAAATAAAGAGGACTCAATGATCTCCCCACACTTAAAAATCAGAGTTTTTATAGAGATAAGACTATTAAGTTATTATATGACTCTCACCTGCAAATTTGCTAGGAAGATCATTGAAACTTGGATTCTGAAATTTGACATACTTATCTGTCCACCATGTAAGTCCATTCTTTAGCATTGGGACTCTGATATGTACAGACGAATTAAGTTTGTATGAAAGAATTATGGTATCTGAAAGGAAATAAAAACTTGCATTAGAGATGCAAGCCAGCAATTTTGCTGTGCTTCAAATGCAGAACACACACAGCTGCAGAGAAATCGGGGCTCTTGCACACTCTCAACACGCCCACATGCTGTAGATGCTGCAGAGGACCCTTCCTTTTCCTGCCAAGGCTGAGCCAGTTATTGAAAGATACTCCCCCACCCCCCGTGGAGGGCCTTCCTGCGGTCCCCTACATTTTTTTTATTTTTAAAATTATTTTTATTTTAAAAATTAAAAAACTGACAAAACAACAATGAAGACAACATTGAAACAACACAAAAACAACAAAAATGATACACAACCTCAAGACAAAATGATAGAAATTCACAATGGCTGTGAAAGAGACTCCTAAGCTCCATTTAACTCATGTTCATAGACTTCTCTTTCATATTTCTGGCAAGGAAGGACTTATCTGCAAATGAAACACTGTGCACCAGTGCTCTGGGTCAGACAGGATAACAGATCTAGTATTTAAAAGACAAAACCAAACCCCACTTCTTAGCTGCAGTGGTAGATCTGATATTTGGTTAAACCAATGGCTTCACATCTGAACGGTAACACACTTACGGAAAGGGCCATCCCAGAGACAGGGACACGTCACCTACCGTTGAACATGCTGTTGGCGATAGCCCCACAAGGAGCAATGGGAGTACCGTCGCGAGACACTTTGAACGGAGCGCAGTTCTCAACATCCTGGATGCAAGATGACAGAGCGATGAGGCACGCTTTGGGCGAGCTCTCTTGCCATCCTCAGAGAGAGAACACTGGCAGGGTAAACCAGCTCACACTAATTTGCTGGCACGGACCAAGATTATGGGCCACTGTCTGTTTCTTCCCAGTCATCTGGCTCCCTTGGGCTAGAAACCTTCATGTGTTGGACACAGGTGTGTGCAATATGTATATGCTAAGCATGTCTTTTCCCTCAGTAGTATGTAGCATCAAAATGTCTGCGGGAGGGAATTTTGTCATATCAGCTCTACTATACATTACTCTAAATTTACACTGGAATACAATCTTTAAATCGCTTTCATTGAAGTAAAATTTATACTCAGAAAATGTACAGACTATGATTCTATAGCTAGACGACTTAACACAAGGAGTCCATCCAGACTACCATTTTAAAAGAGTAGTTACTGAGAATGATCTGGTTATCATTTCACATAATGTCAGTATGGAAAAGAGCTCCATTTAACTTTCTTGCTAGCATGGTAAATATCATCTACCAAGGGTAAAACTTTGTACCCCTGGGTGTTGAAAAGATATTTGGTTAAACCAGTGGCTTTATTCCATCAAAAAGAACCCAGTTTCCTCAAAGTAGGCTGGATCCCCAGTTATAGGAAGGACAGTGGTAGATATCAGCTGAACCAAACTGAAACAAGGTCTCCCCAAATAGCTCATGAAAGGATGACCAAAGGTGCCTAGTGTTCCCATTCGCCCTGTGAAGAGACAGCGCTCAAGCTCAGTAACAGTTACCTTGAACACCCAGCCCTCTCCGTTCATGAAGAATGAAATGAACATTTCTGTTTTATAAAAACTTGGCTTGTAAAATCTTTAGCTTTTGAGTTTATTTTTCATCCCTCCTTTTAGACTGAAAGACCCATCTGGCTTAAAAAAAAAAAAAAAAAAGAAAGAGACTACGATAGCAAATTAAATAAAGCCTTACCCTTACATCCTCACCCGTCAATTGGTTATTACTTCTGGACTGAATGTATCGATAGAGATTCTGATAGAAGCCATACAATTTGTAGTACATGTAAACGTTACCCTGTATGGGAGGAAAGCAAGAAGTGAGAAGAGAATAAGAGAAATCAACTGGAATAGTAATAAACATGAGCAGGGATTTTTAATTTAAACATTTAATTTATTTCTTTGTTGGTTGGTTTGTTCAGACAGGGTCTTATTATTTTGTCCGAGTGGGTCTCAACTTTTCGTTAGCCCCTGAAGGGCTGGGGTTACCATCATACACTGTCACACCCTGCAGAAATTTTAAAAATATAAAGCAGTACAGAAAAAAAAATGATGGGAACTGTAAATTTCCTGCAAAACAGAAATGCAAGAAATCATTTGCAAAAGTCACTGTTGGAAGTCCTGGTCTATAAAGATAACGGAAATGATTAAATAACCTATTTTTAAAAATTTTATGAAGAAAAGACCAGCCGTGGTGGTGCACACCTTGGAGGTGTATCCTCGGGAACTATGTGTTGTCCCAGCCCCTTCTCTGCCTTTGCTTCCTGTTCACCGTGAAGTGAGCTCCTCCTCCGCTACCTAGTGCTGCTGACTGCTTCTGTGTTCCACCTCCCACAGCTGCACAGCAGCGGCACCGCTGACGCAGGGCGGCAGGCTCTGAGACGCTGAGCCAGACGAGGCTTTCATGTTGTTTTCGCAGGTGTTTTGTCGCAGTGTCAGAAAGCTGACTATACTAAGGCCCTTGGAGTTTTCTGGGTAGACTTGAGACAGACTTTACTAATAACACGTAGGAAATATTCATTTGCATTTAACTAACGTATTCACAGATTTTACTACCAGTGTGGAGGAACACCTGACGAGTCTCCTTTTTGGCTGAAGCTGGCCCTGTTCCCCGGCACTGATTTGTCCAAAGCTGGCCAAGGCTTGTCTTTACCCCCTCAGTCGGCTTTAAGCAATGCCAATGGGTCTCGCTGAGGTGTGGGTGTGCATGTTTGAAAGGCGGCAGGTCAGAGTTGCCCTGCCTGCAGCTCCCAAGAAGTGGGAGCGAGCTGGGCTGAGAGCCCACTGTGGGCTGAGGTGGGCCTCAGATAAGAGGCTACGACTTCTCAGGGCACAAAAAATACACACCAGAGCTGAAGCACCAACCCCAGAACATTCGATACTGCCTTAAACTGTGCTATTCAGATTATTCCTCCTTCATATCTCTCTCTGCACATGTCGGAGGTGATTTCAGCCTCCAGCCCTGGGTCGAGGCCTTTGTTCGCTCAGCCATCGCACTAGCTGGGCTTAGAACCCCTTGACGCCCCACAATTACAAATACGTCTTAGTGCCTTCATTCTTGGCATGTGTCACGCTGGACGTGGCAGACTGGAATTAACTTACTAGAATTCCAGTAACCTTTCCCTGAGATCACGAATGTGGGTTTTTCTGGACTGCTACGAGGTCTAGAAGGCTTCCTGTATACCAGCACTCATAGAAATGTGTAATGTAGCTGTGTATAATTCACATACTAATACCTTCGAAATAACGATTGTATCTCAAAATAAGAAGGCCTGACTGTATTAAGGGCCTCTGTGGTGTCAGGTGATACATTTAGTGCAAGAAACACAGAAGATTCTTCGCACTTCCCAGAGGCCATTGATTTGTTAGCTTATGCAAAGACAGAGCTTGGAAAGGCTTCGGCTTCGCTTTCCAAGGACCTTAAGGAGGAGGAGTATGGCAAATCGGAACTGCCCTCCTGGGGCGCTGTGAAGAAAGTCCTGGTGAGTGCGGCCAGGCACAGAGAAGATCGGCAGAACAGCCTGGCGGCTCGAGGGGAGACCGCTCCGGACTCGGGAGGGGAGGCTGAGCCAGGCACGGAGGCAGGCTGCAGACGGCCGACAGACCGCGCGGGCACCAAGGCAATGAGCCACGCTCCCTGAGAACGGCCCCGTGTCCTCTCTGAAAGGGAGCCCCACGGCTGACCCGTGGCCACGGAAGGTGTGAAATCCACAGTGGGATGTACCACACATCTAACTACAAGCCAGCAAGCTGATGCCACGGAGCCAGAGCTACACGTTCACGTCAGTGACAGGCGGGCGCGCTGGGCACGCGAGGCCGCAGCGTCTCAGTGGCCTCTTCTCAGGGACCGTGTTCCGGGCCCAGCTTGCCAAGGCCGCCATGGTCCCGCCTCGCTGAGTACTCACTCTCTGGCCTGCCCTCTCTGCGCGCTCAGTGGCACTGTAACCAGGTAGCGTCCTGGGGAAGTCTGACAGAATTGCCGCCCCATCTCTCAGATCTTCTAGTCCTCGGTTCCTCTCACACGGTGCCCTAAGCTCCAGCCGAGGCCTCTGCGCAGTCACTCTTCTCCCAGCTTGTGTGAACTGACCTGCAGAAGTAGCGCCTCTGTCTGAGGGAAGTGCGGGTGCCCTTCTGTTTCCCTGAGGAGGCGGAGGAGGAGGAGACGCCCTGTGAAGAGAGGCCCTGGCCGCGTGTGTGTCCTTGCCACCGCCTGGCCGCCCTCCCCTTCCTCTCAGGAAGCCCTTCACAGCAGCCCCAAGCGCCCCACAAGAGAGGTCTGAGACGGCAAAGAATCCCTCCATGTCATCAGCAGTCGCTTTAAATGAACCTCTTTCTTGCCCTTGACTTCTGCGCCCGGAGTTTCTGGGTTGAGCTGAGCAGCAGGAAATACGGTCTGGCACCCGCCCTGGGCGCAGGCTCCCCGTGTCTCAGGCAGACTCGTGGGCACCCACTGCCTGGGGCCCGGCGTTCGTGCGCTGCCTGCAGAGCTGCAGTGCTTGTCCTGGGTGAGCCGGCTGGCTCTTCCCAGAGGGCTGTGCCTAGTGGAGTGACAGCCCCTGGTGACACGCACATGACTTTTGAAGGACACAGACAGATGGGAATTTAAGATTTTATCTTTAAGATCTTTCTTCACAAAAGTATTGTGGGCCTTCAAAAAAGAAGGAAGAAAAATAAAATTAGGGAAGGAAAGGAGGGTAGAAGAGGAAAGGAAACGTGTGGGACGGCCTGAGAGTTTCTCAGCTTCAGGGCTGGGAGTGTCGCTCGGCGGCAGGTTGAGGCCGCCTCCTTTCCTCTCCGGATCGGAGCGGGGTGCCGTGGGGGGAGCCCCAGCAAGCCGCAGGTTGCAGCTCACCTGCTTCCCGCTCCTTGGGCCAGTGTTGAGAGGAGCCTTCTCACGGCTGCCAGCCTTCCCTGGGAGTCCGGACTTCATCCAATGAAGAATGAATTTTTCTTCAATACCTCGAAGTTATTCCATGGCCTGTCCTATCCCCCGGAATTTGTATTTCTCCATCTTGACCTGCAGCCTCTGGCCCTCACGACGGGAAGAGTCTGGGTCCAGCAGGCTTTCTGGTGAGCTTCTCACCGAGGCCCGCCTCGAGGCCCGCTCCCGCCTCCAGGCCCGCTCCCGCCTCCAGGCCCGCTCCCGCCTCCAGGCCTGCTCCCATCTCAGGCTCAGCTGGCCCAAAGCCAAGCTCGTCATCCCCTCCTGAATCTCTCCTTACCTCCCCGCTGCCCTCCCTCCCATTTGTCCTCTCCAGGGTCGCCACCGCCGTGTGGTCTGACAGTTCCCCCACCTTCTCCCTGCACCCTTCACATTTCCTTCCAGAGCGTCCCCCATACGTTCTTGCATGTCCGCTCTGTCCTGGCATCTGCTTGTCAGAAGACCTGGATGGGCAGACTGACACAGGACTTCAACAAGCCTAAGCGTAGGGTGTTCGGTCTCGCAGTGTTTCTTTAGCGTTTCCCACAGTGCCTGACAGTCAGGCTGGAAGTGTCTTAAGAATCTGCATCTATAGGGTGACTGGGGTGGGGGGACCCAAGAAGGTTCCCGCCACGTAAGACCCCTAACATTCATTTACCGTGCGCCTTTGGCCACATCATTTAACATCTGAGCCCATTAATTTGCTGGTTATAAAATGATTGGTTAAACTTAGTGACCTTCGCAGTCGCCTCCTATGCTGACATTTGGAATAAAACTTGTTTGATTAATTATAAAAATTATGTTATGAAGTTGGGTAGGTACAGAACCTTAAAACTTAGAAACAAATATACAAAAGACAAGAATAATACCAAATAGGCAGGCAGGCACTCAACAGTTTATAAGATTTGTCTCTCCCACCCTGCTTTACTTTTAATATTTTTCAGTTTTGGAGAGCATTTGATAGAAATTGTGTACTTGCCCTGGACAGCTAAATAGAAGTACAGATACATCTGCACAAAGTCCACTGAACGCTCCATTCCACTCACCTCCATTTTCTGTGGAAGGTAAAAAGGTATAGAGCAGGTACACTCCTTGTCAAAGTTATAGGCATTTTCCCGAAATTCAGCACAATTTGCGCATATTTTTGTGTAATTAATCTGTCAAGCAGGGAAAACAACAACGATTAATTTAAAAGTTACATAAGTACATGCCTTAAACTTAAGCCCTGGTCACCAAAGTCTTCCACACGTATGGGCTGTGGCGCCTCGGTGGAGACCTGAAGGCCCAGGGTGCAGGGCGGGTGTCTCTGGGCTGTTCGGGGGACTGGGCCTTTCCACGGACTTCCCTTTGGGGACCTGGCAACACTTTGCAACCGCCTGGAACTGTGACCTGTGGGGTGCGGCCTTGTCTGTCCGTCATAACGAGGTGTCGCTGGGAAGGCGACGGTCAGTGACTCAGGAAAACCGGGCCACAGCCGGACGCCAGTCACATTTACGGTGAAGATGCTTCACTGCTTTTTTCATGTTACTTTACAGAAACTGTTCATACTAATGAACTGTATTACATGGCATTCAGAGAAAGTTGCCAAAGTGACCGAACATAGAAAAAGAAGCATTTTCAAATAAGATTATTGATGTATGTGGAACAACCCTAGTATTAAAAGGTATTGCGTTCTGCTTTGTAAAAGTTCAGTTCTGTGGAAAGTGGTATAAGAAACTCTTTTAAAAGGTGGCCTGTGCTTGCTTCTTGGCCTTTTGGCTAAGATCAAGGGCAGAGGATTGTGTGTCCAAACGGGTGACTCCTGTGAGCTCTGGCCGACACTGAGCTCTAGGAAGATGCAGTCAGAGGACAGGAAGGAGCCGGGCATGGTGGTGCACACCTGTGATCCCAGCACTGAGGCTGAGGCAGGAGGACTGCCGCAAGTTCGAGGCCAGCCTGGGCTACAAAGTGAGCTCAAGGCCACTATGAACTGCACAGTGAGACCCTGTCTCAAAAAAAAAGAAAGGAGGAGAAAAGAAAACAGTAAGGAAGGGGGCTCAGAGACCAGGGTCAGGTGCTGTGCGGCTCCCTTACCCTACAAGGACGCTCCCCTCTGGGGCTTGGGGCTGTGGTGGGGCTGTGGGGGGCTGCTTCTGGTTTCCCCTCGCCATGCTGAGGAGCAATCATGGGGTCATGGCAGTGTGGGACAAGGAAGTAGCTTTCTCCCTGTGGTAAGGTGCCAGTGGATTTGGGAGAGAATGCTAACAAGAAAGACAGAATAAATTTCAGTCTGTCCAAAACAAGGTTTTGAAGCTTAACGGTAAAGTGCAAATACTAAAAATTAGTGAAAATTCTACTCTTGTACTATTAAACCATTTAGCAGCATGGCTTTCACTCTTCTTTTGAACATATTTATTTCTTTTCTATTTGTAAAACTACATCTTGCTTTATAGAAAGCATTAAAGACTAGGGCTGTGTCCTGATTGGGACAGCTCACATTGCACTTTTTTTTTCAAGTTGATGAACAAAAATTTTATTTTTTACACATAAAGGTTGATATAAAACCATTAGTTTCCTGTTAAAGAAAACTGAACATTTCAATCAAAAAGAACGGTGTCTAAATTTAGTCATTAAATACTATTCATATTTTCTAAAACAGAACTTGAAAACATCCAGCATGCTTAATCTCAGTACAAAGGATTCAAGACCAAGCAGACAAGTCACAAACATCAAGGGAGACTACAAATTATCACAGTCATCATCATCATCATCATTATGATCTTCACACTTCTCTTCAATGCATTTGATGCCGCACTGGCGGTATTTTGTGATGATACCACGTTAGTGGTATTTTTTTTTTTTTTCTTGGTCTTTTTCAGACAGGGTCTCGCTATGCAGTTCAGGCTGGCCTTGAGCTCACTTTGTAGCCCAGGCTGATCTCGAACTCACAACCATCCTCCTGCCTCATCCTCCAAGTGCTGGGATTACAGGTGTGTACCACCACACCTGGCCGTATATGAGTGGTAATAAGAATGTGTTTGGACCCAATTCACGAGGGATTAATCAGAACATTCGGAACTGCTGAAGTTGCGGAAGGGAGGCCTTGGCAGCAGGCCCTCTGAGGCCGGCATCTGTCCGGTAAGCCTCTGCCGAGTGAGGGACACGGAGCCCCTACCTGGGCTGAAACAGACATGGCCTGGGGGCCGGTGTGCCCAGCGTGGGGGTGCCTGGCCTGCTAGCAACGGAAGCAGCCCTCAGCCGCGGACCTGTTATTCTTCTCGCAGAAGCGCCCCGTTTTTTGTAAAGATTTGAGTCTGTAGTTGGGAGCTGTGAAGCAGGATCGATCAGGTGGTAACCTAGGACCGAGTATGGCTTGATCAGGGGCAAAGGGTTTGGTTTCCCTGCCTTGCAGTATCTAATAAAAAATCTCTTGGGGGAGGAGAGGCGAAAGACCGGCCGGCTCACACTGGACGCCAGTCGCACGTATCCGCGGTGGCAGCGGCTCTCTCGGCGTGGCCTCGGTAAATTTCAGCCTCATCTGGAATGGTGGCTGCACATCGCAAGGCGACTCCAGCGTCTGATTCGCAACTCTGGGCTCCTGCTCTGTGGTCCCCACGTCCTCCGGGTTTGTGCCATCCTCCGTGCAGCCTGCGGCACGCTCCCGGGAGAAGCCACCTTGCCCGGCTCCGTGATGTCCGCTGATCAGAGCTCTCGCTGCGTCACCCACCCGTGCGCTCCGCTCCGATCTGCACGCGAGTTTGTTTCCGGGTGTGGTCTTGCAGCTCCTGCTGTGCCGGCGATCAGGATGTCGGGGGCACCACAGCCCCAGACGCGGGCGAGCGCGTCGGCTCCCGCGCTTTGCCCGCGCACACGGCAGCCCTGGTTCAGCCGATCTCCGACCCCGAGCGAAGCACTTAAGCTCAGCACCCGCATTTTGTTCCCCAGCATGGCTCTATGAAACAATCAGTCGAGCCTGAGGTCACTGTAACAGTAAACATCCCGCTTCATGGATCCCGCTTTGAGTTATATGAATACAGAATTAGAAGGCTGCCTCACGGCCAAGTACTGTCTGAGTAGACGGCATCTGCGTTGCTTGCTTCCCAGCTCCGAAGAACTTAATGAGGGAGATACACCCTTCATCCTCTGTAATAACAGCGGCTCCACCTTGGCGCTCGAATGACCCGTAAATCCTCTGTTAGGAAATGAGGCAAAAGCCACAGTCTGTCGCTCACGCAGTGCTGGAGTCAGAAGCGCCCTCCCCTCGGGAGTTACACGAAGGCGCTTCCTGCGCGCCGGGCTGAGCGAGACCCGGAGCGGCCAGCGCGGGGCCTGCGCCTGCCCGGCTCGCTCAGGCACGCTGGCCCGGGCGGTGCCCGCGTCCGTCACTCCACGGCGAAGCGCGCGCAGACACAAACCATTTGGGTGCTTCCTGGTTTTCCTGTACGACACTGAAGTGCTGGAACTAACCAAACTCGATACAGTTGAAATATTCGTTGCAAAGTACCCTTATCCTCTATGAGACAAACACATTTTGTCGAGAGCTGCGTGCAGAGCGGCTCCGTCGCCGGCCAGCGACGGGCTGAGGTCGCCCCAGCGCAGGAGATGAGCCCGCTCAGCCAGGGCCGCCCGCGCGAGGACTGCGTTCGCAGCGCAGGACGCGCCGCTGCGGGGTGAGCAGACCCAGGGCCGATGGAGAGGCGAATGCAGAAGCGTGCCGTCCGTGGGAATAAAATCACCTGAGGAGACCGCTACCGTGCCGGCCCCTTCAGGAGGGAAGGGTTAGCTGCCTGCTGCCCCCGGGCCGCCGAGGGCTGCCCGTCACACTGGAGGCCTCAGGACTTTGGGGCATTTCACTTCCAGGGAGACCAACCTCCGCGAGCTCAGAGGAGGGGGCGGAAAACGCGAGTGGGGAGGCGGCAGAACCTGCCGAGGAGGGGGCGCGACGCGCTGTGTGCAGTCTCCCTGCTCTCCCCAGCCCAGCGTTCCAGCCGGCGTGTGCTGATCTCCCCGCGGGCAACGAGCAGGGACCGTGCCGGGGACGCGGCCGAGCCCGCTCCTTCCTCACGCACCCTGCTTCATCGCTGCGTATTTGTGACGCCCACCCTGCAGCGCCCGTCGACAAGGTGCCTTAGCTCATGAGGTCTCAGGGTATTTGCCTTTACTTGGGGACCGTACCTGTGGGGTCTGCATCTGGGCATTCACTGACCACAGGTGAAAAACATTTGAAAAGCAATTTTCTTTACTAAACAAGCACAGACCTTTTTCCTTGTCATTATTCTGTAAACAATTCAGTATGATAGCTGTTTACATAGGATTTATATTCTATTAGGTTTCAGAAATACTCTAGATTCACTTAGGGTATATAAGAAGTCATGTGAAATTGTGTGCAAATGAGTCATTTTAAGGGATTTGAGCATCTAGATTTTGGTGTATTTCATTACTGTTAGTAGTAATGGCAATAGTTGTTAGTAGTTGTGCTCAGCTTTTCTGAGGCAGGGTCTCGCTATGCAGTTCAGGCTGGCCTTGAACTCACTTTGTAGCCCAGGCTGGCCCCGAACTCACAATGATTCTCCTGCCTCAGCCTCCCGAGTGCTGGGATTACAGGCGTGCGCCACCACATCCAGCCAATTTAGGTATCTTTAAGGAGGAAGCACTGCCCTGCAGATCTGAGGGAGGGCTGTACCATTTAACCTTCACTCTCATTGGCTCACGGAGGGTAGGCACTAATTTTTGCTCATCATCCTTATCTGCACACCCAGCAGAACCTGAAGGCACCTTTTGAAACTCATCCATGTGAAACTCATGTTGAAAGAAGTGGCCCTCACTGTCAGTTCACCAGCAGCCACGTGCAGAGCGGAAGAGCAGCTTTCCGTGGCTGCCTTCAGGGCAGCTCTCGTCTGGTCTGGGATGTCTGGCTGTCTGCTCAGAGCTGACGCAGAGGGAACAAGCACTTCATTCACTGTACATTGAATACAGGCATCCTTAAGATGTCAGAAAGTCCTGCGGCCATGCTTTTCCCAGAGCTCGGAGGGAGTTCATTTGCAAAAGGTAGGACTCAGTTCTTGAAAGAAATCAGGTTATTTCTGTTTGCAGATGACATGAAAAAAATAGACCCTATCAAAAGATTACTGGAGCAGATAAATGAATTCAGTGAAGTTGTAGACTAAAAAATCCACACACAAAAATCAAAGGCCGTTTTATACACCAATCACAAACTTGCAGAAAAAGAAGTCATGAAAGCAATTCTATTTATAGTAGCTACAAAAAACAAAGTACCTAGAAGTAAATTCATCTGAGGAAATGAAAGACCTCTAAATTGAAAACTGTAGAGCACTGCTTAAAGAAATGAAATAAATTACACAAAATATGGGAACACGTTCACAGTTCATGGATTGGAAGAACTAATACAGTTAAAATGTCCATACTACCAAAAGCAATTTAGGTTTGGTACAGTTTCCACCAAAATACCAATACAATTCTTCACAAAACTAGTAAAAACAATTGTTTAATTTCTATGGAAGCATAAAAGGCCCTGGACAGCTAAAGCAATCTTGATCAAATAAAGCTGTGATATCACAACATCTGATCTCAAAATGCACTATTAGGGTACAGTAACCTAGATAGCACGGTGCAGAAATACAAACCAGCACACAGATAAATGGAACAGGACAGAGCGTCAAGAAATAAGTCCGTGCACCTACAGCCAACTGATTTTTGACAAGGCTCCAGAAACATACGTAGAAGGGACAGCTGAGAAAACTGAATTACCCATGTGCAGAAGAATGAAGTTTGACCCTTGTTTTTCACTTTGTACAAAAATCATTTCAAGTGAATCAAAGACCTAAATGTTGGGCCTGAAACTGTGAAACTACTAGATGAAAACACAGGTGAAACACCTCAACAACTACAGGCAATGACAGCAAAAAGTTGACATGTGGGATTAAAACAAACTAAGTTTCATCACAGCAAAAGAAACAATCAAGTTAAGAAACCACCTACAGAATGGGAGAGAATATTTGCATACTATTCATCTTGACAAAGTATTTATGTTGTATTCAGGGTTTACAAGGGGAAAGATTTAACACAGGACACATAATTTATCGGGTTATTTGATAATATTCACCCAAAGAGTCAAGTGCAGGAGTGTGGAGATCTGTCCACACACTAGAGACCCAGAGAATCCAGCTGAGGGCCTGGATCCCACCACAGTGTCCTGCACGAGTCCAGCTGGAGGCCCAGAGCCCACAGCAATGTCTCATGCAAGTCTGTATCCAGGACCTGCACTGGGAAGGCCCACAGGTCAGGGGTGGAAGCTAGAAAGTCTGCGCCAGCGGGATGAAGGGTCTGTGTCAGCGGGCTGAGGGACCTGCACTGGAGCCGGAAGCGATGCTCAAGGCAGGGACCAGAGCTCCCGCAGAGAACTGCGACCTTGCTCAGCAACAGTGAGGACCTGAGCTTCTCTGATGATAGCAGCTGAGTTCATATCAGGAAAACCAGCGTGACAAGTTTCTCCAGGAGGATCCACAGCACACCATCTTCCCCTTCAGTTCTCCTTTTATGCTGCTGGCAGCAGTCCTCAGGTGGGTCCTCCACACCCAGAACCACACTGATTCAGCTCAGCTGGGTGTTACCAGTTGACCATTACTTAATCCACCATAATTAAATACAGAATATATAAAGAACTTGTAAAAAAAACCCTCACCACCAATAAAAAATAATTTAATTAAAAATGGGCAAATGATCTACCTCAGTCAAAATAGCTATTATGAAAAACGCAAAAAATAAATGTTAGTGAGGATATGGAGAAAAAGGCATTGTCATACACTGTTGGTGGGAATGTCCATTAATACAACCACTGTGGAAAACAATATGGAGGTTCCTCAAAAGCTAAATGTAGATCTACCATATGATTCAGCTATCCTACTTGGGTTAACAGTTAAAAGAAATGAAAGCAGCACGTTAAAGAGATATGTGCAGTGCCATGTTTATTGTAGCACCATTCACAATAGCTAAGATATGGAATCAGCCTAGATGTCCACTGACACATGAATAAAGAAAATGCTGTATACGTACGATGGAATATTATTTATCCAGGAAAAGGATATTTTCAGCAAAGTGGATGGATCTGGAGTACATTATGTCAACTGACATAAACTAGACATACAAGGGCAAATATTTCATATGTTCACTCACATGTGGAAGCTAAAAAGTTCATCTAAAAGTACATTAATAAAAAGAATTAAACAGCATGTGTTGGTTTAATAGAACCTAGCAAGTGGGTGTAGGAGGTTGAACAAGGGTATCAAAGCACAGGTAGGAGTAGGTTCTAGTGTTTGTAGTGCAGTAGAGTATAACTGTCATTTACAATGAGCTATCACATACTTTACGGAGAACTAGAAGAAAGGAGCTCAAAGGCTCCAAACAAAGAAATGATACGGAGCTAGAAATGAGAGTTACCCAGATGTGGTTGGTGCAGATTGTGTGCATGGACTGAACTATCATGTTGTACCCTCTAAGTACGTAACATCGTTACATGTTCATTAAACAGAAAAAATAAAATTACATACATTGTATATTCGAGATTGAAGACCTGTGTGTTTGGCTCTCTGGCTACAGCAGTGTGTGAGTCTGGCATCATCAGCTTTTCTTGCTCCTCTCCTTGTTTCTGTTCGCTGCCTGCTAAGTCCTCGGCCATGTAAAAGCACCCTGGCTGAGCTAAGCTGCTCACCAAGTGACTGCCCTGGAGGAGGCACAGGGACGGAAGAGGCCCCTCACGTGCGCTGTTGCTGTTCGCTGCTGCCAGCGGCAAGAGGGGGGATGGCTCCATCTTATCTAGCTTCCTGCTGAGGGACTGTGTTCTCCAATGGACCATTCCCACTTAAAGTCCCAGACTGAACACTCTTGGTAATCCCAGCCTGGGAGGCTGAGGCAGGAGGATAGAGATTGAGGTCAGCCTGAAATCCACAGTGAGTTGGAGAGCTGGAAGCCAGCCTGAGCTGCAGTGAAACTCTGCTTCAAAAGGAAGAGAAAATGAAGAAGAGGAAGAGGAAAAGTAAGGTGGACACAAACCTCTACTTTCTTGGTCTTCTTTGCAGATAATATTAGGATGACGCCCATGCAAAGGCAGAATGCGCCCGTGCCAAAAAAAATAGAGAGGACCAGCTTGGCCGAGAAGCGCAGGTGGTGGGCAGGCAGCTTCTGCTGCTTCATGGCGGTGTTGTCTGGCATCCTGGACAGCGGCTGCTCGGGTATTTCCTTCATTTTAGGGCTGTGGATGACCCAGATAGACTGGGTTATTTAGAACATTTCTATTTGTAGTAATACCATGTCATGCTAATGTTAAATGAAAATGACACAACCTTTCCTTCACAGTTGCAAAGTCTGTCCTGATTCCTGGACCTACTTCCTAACCGGACCGGATGTTCACGGGAACACAGGCCTCTTCAGCCAGCCCCTGCTGGGTGTATCGCTGTAGGCTCGGGAAGCCTGCTGTGCTGAAGGAGAGACCGTCCCTAGCCAGGTCTGTCAACACCAACGTCTGGTGCTACACGGAAGGTGCCACTGTGGGCTACTTCTGGGACTTGACAACTAATTCAAAGCAAGCCTTTCCTGAAAGGGGGAAAATAGATTTATCTTTGGAAACTTGCTTAAATGCTCAGAGACTGATTAAAAAAATAAAAGTCAGGGATGTCAGCTTTCTCCCAAATGTGGATGGTACTTAATGTGAATATAAAGTAAGTAGAGAAATGCTCTCAGCTTACAGCTAGTTTTGCTATTTGTAATACTGAAGACGAGACAAGCAAACAGGGAACTGCGTAACACAGGTGTGTAATTTCAGCAGTTCCCAGTGATTTTCTTCCACTATAGGAAAGACCCTGGTAGGAAGTGTAGAATAAAACGTCTCCTAACTTCTCCCAAACACACGCTTTGGAGTAGCCCTAGTGAGGCACAAGAACGTTCATCAGTTAGTCGCCCTACACCGCAGTTGGTATTAGTTAGGCGCTCTTTCCCTTGTTACAAATCCACTGAAAACTTCATTGGGTGTTAACAGTTAATAATTACTTCTTGCCAGGTGTCACAGCACATGCCTATAATTCCAGTACTCAGGAAGCTGAGACAAGAAGGTTGCCACGAGTTCGAGGTCAACCCAGGCTACACAGTTAAAGGCCGGTCTCAGAGTGAGACTGTTTCAAAAACAAAATTACTTCTGTAAAAATGGGCCTTGAGGATGGAGAAATTAGATTTTTTGCAATTAGACAGTATGTGCTTTTCTAATTTCTCCCTTTTTATTAGTATTAGGCAGAGCAGTATTGCTACATTATTTTTTTAAAGTCAAAGGTGGCAATGACTTTGGGAAATATACCTAGTTTTTAAAAGAATATGAAATAGATACAAACACTTATGGTAGAAAGTTTCCAACTCAGAATAAAGTCCTCGGACTTGCAAACTTGAAAACAGCCAAAATACCAATGGGAAGCTTTCGGCATGCCATTTCAGGCTGATGGAGGGACAGTGACTAGCCTGGCTCTTATTAGCCTTGTGAGAGGAGGCAATGTCTAGTTAACGTCTACTGTTTGTTTCACTAAATAAAGAACCTGGGTTTGTATACAGGCCTGGCTTACAAAATATCAGGTGTGTTTGTGACTTAAGGGCTTGTTCCATTACTAGGCGGTAACGTACTACATAGATAACGCTTCGTAAAACGGTCATTCTTGTAACAAACCAGTAAGAACGCTATTCCTCAGGCTTTCCTAAAACAACAAAACCAAAGATCCCAAACTAACAGGATCTTCACATGTATTAGTCATGGTTCTCCAGAGATACAGAAACAACAGATTTTATGATTACATATGTAATATTATAAGGAATTGGCTCACACAATTTTGTAGGCCTAGTTCAAGTCTGCAGAGCAAATGTGCCAGTTGAAGTCTGAAGGCCAAAGCCCGGTGTCGACTCAGGAAGAGCTAATGCTTCAGTTAGAAAGTACCAGCCGGGGGAATTCTTTTCCTTGGGGGAGGGTCAGCCTTTGGTTCCATTCAACCTTCGCCCAGGGGGCTGAGGCTCACTCAGCGTGGGGGGCGCTCTGCCTCCCTCAGCTCCATCTGTTTGAATGTCAGTGTCATCTGAAAACAGTTTCAGTTACTTTTCCCATTTGCTGACACAATGTACCAAACACCCGAAGGTAAAGGAGGAAAAGTTTATTTGGCTCGCAGTTTGTAGAGGTTTCAGTTCACAGTTGGCTGGCTCCCAGGCAGGGTGGCACGGCAGAGGGCAGCACAGAGGAGAAACAGTTCATGGCAGGCAGAAAGCAGCAAGTGATAAGTGACAGCCCTTCCTGTCCCTTACACTCCGTTCCTCAGGGTGGGGCAGCCTTAGTCCTAGCATCACGCCATAAGTCAGTTCCAGCATCACATCCTTGATCCCAGTATCACCCATCCTAGATCCTACCACTTCTGAAAAGCCCCACTTACGCCTGCACGAGGCTTTGGAGGAACATCTAGATACAAACCGTATCACATGCCCACAGCACGCAGAGGATGTCTGATCAACTGTCTGGGAACCCTGTGGTCTGCTCAAGTGGCCGCCTAAAAATTAGTTATCATAGGTAGCAAGTGCAAATATTTCTGAAGGGGAATATTCTCTAGAGATCACCAGATATATATTTTATGTTCACCCATTCTAAATATACCTAGTTTAAATTTTCAAATATGCCTCAAATGCTTTACTTTTCAATGTTTTTAGAACAAGGTTTCCTAAGTCACAGCACAACTGACACCTTGGGCTAGGTATTTCTTCCTTGTGGGAGCTAGCACAGAATGTTTAGCCATACCCTGGCTTGCTAAACATCACACATGGCCCCTGCTTGATGCCTAGGGACCCTGATCCCCACAGTTGAGGCAACCAAATGTATTTCCAGAGACTGGAGATGCCCCCTTGAAGGGTAAAATTGCCCGAGAATGACTCTTCTACATTGATACCTACATGCCCAATTTGTGAGCAGCTGTTGTGCTGTATCATTAGAAATTTCAGAAAGTGGGTTTTAACTTTCTTGCCTTCATTTTTTCTTTAACCACAGTCATAGATGGACTTCTCAGACATTTTATATTTGGGGTTGCCTTATATCTCTCTGTCTTTTCCTATTAGCCACAAATATACTAAATTTGAGTACAGAATCAGGAGGAGATTATGTATATGAGGTATACTCACACCCATACACACGCACACATAATGTTCACAAATCTCATTTTTTTTTGGTTTTGGCAAATCAATAGTGGACTGATCTACATTCAGACACAGTGTCTTAATTTGCAAGCCTGGCATGGTGGCACATGCCTGTAGCCCTAGCACTTGGAAGACTGAAGCAGGAGGATCACCATAAGTTAAGATCCAGCCTGGGCTATACTGTGAATTATGGCCAGCTTGAACAACACAGAGAGACCTGGTCTCAAAAAAAAAAAAAAAAAAAAAAAATTCAGATGTCTTAACTTGTAGATTTGTTCTCTTAAAAAAATCATGCATGGTATTTTTTTTTCTAGATTAATCTAAGACTCATCCCTTGACAGGAAGTTCAGTACTGAATTTGCATGAGTGTGCACCTGCCTGATTTTGAGTTGCTAGTCTGTGAGACTGGTTTAAAACTTCCTTTAAATATCAAGGATGGCATCTGTTTACTTTATTTATTACTGTATTTTATTTGGTGCTTGTGCCCAAGTCTCCAAACACATAGCTTGGTGTCCTGAAGTGAAATAGGCCTTTTTTTTTTTTTTTTTTTTTTTGGTTTTTCTCCGGTACCGGGAACCGAACTCACGACCTTGCGCTTGCCAGGCAGGCGCTTTTGCCGCTGAGCTAAATCCCCAGCCCCTGAAGTGAAATAGGAAACGTGGGATTTACTACTGGTTCGGCTATTGAACAAGTGTTGTGTCCCTTCTGAGATTCAGTTTTATTGTCTATGTAACAACATTTTCCCTTGAGGACTATTTCTATTATCAAACAAGACAGACAGTATAAATGAGATAAACACAGCACTTGGCAGAGTGAATAATCATTCAGTATTATTAAAATGAGTAAGACCACAAAGTGAATCTGACCAACAAAATAACAGTACTGCATCATAAGCCATAGAATATGAGTCCATACTGATAAATGAACAATCAAAGAAGCAAATGGGGAAAGGGCTCGAGTTTCTTACAGGAATTCCAATTAACGAATATGGAAGGCAGGACAGAAACAGAAAAATCACTACAGTAGCAATTGCTATAGGCAGGAACTACCATCGGTATCAAAAGTTCACGGGCAAGCTCACGCATGCCCATGATCCTAGCTACTTGGGAGGCTGAGGCAGAAAGATTGCAAGTTTGAGGTCAGCCTGGGCAGCTTAGTGAAACTGCATCAAAGTTAAAAAATAAAAAGGGTTGGGGATGTATCTCTTTATTCCCTGATTCAATCCCCAGTACTGCAAAACAATTGGTGGGTGAAAGTTTGGGAAAAAATAGCTATTTGCAAAGCCTGGAAGGATCTCCCCAGGATGGATACTCATTACAAAAGGAGAAATAGCATATACTGTGGAGAAGGCTGGCACACAACACCTTACCCAGGTGGTCGAGGGTGACGTGCTGGCATTAGGCCGTTCACATTCTGTATACCTTCCGAAGCACATAACACTACCGTAGTTCTGCCCAAAAAATTCATAACTTGAATCAAATCGTAAGAAAATAAGAGACAAATCCAAACTGAGGGACATTCAACAAAATGCCTGCTGAGTACCCACCAGTAGTATGAAGGTCATGAAGGAGGAGGGAAGAGTAAGTATTACACGAAACATAACATGAGATCCTGGAGCAGATCCTAGACTAGAAAAGACCTCAGGAAAACCTGGTAAAATCTGAATCAAGTCTGCAGTACAGTTAGCTGTACTGCACTGCTATCGATTTCCTAGTTCTGTTAACTCTTTCAGTTATGCAGGAGGCTCATGCTGAGAGAAGCTGGGGGAAGGTACGTGCGAATTATCTATGTTATTTCTGTGAATGTTCTGTAAGTCTGAAATTATTTAAAACATAAAGTTAAAAAATGAGTAAGATAGCTTTGGCTAGGGAATTCAGAGCTCCCAAAATGTCTCCCAAAAGATTTCTGTGCTCAAAGGGGGGCTTTGGGAAAGTGACTGGCTCGTGGGGTGCTGCATGTGTCTGTGGGGTAATCCACTGCCGATTTAGAGCTCGGGGCCCTCAGGATGTGGGTCCTGGAGCACGGCAGGAAGGGGATAGCTCCCTC